AGAGAGCAGCTTTGTCTCCCTCATGTTGCATTCAGGGTGTCTTCCCCAGGCTGAGTGTAGCATTCACACCCATCATCCCAGTAGCACTCACACCCATAATCCCAGCACTGGATCATGAACTAATCACAGAGTCTAGGAGTCTCCCCCATAACTGCGTGAGGCTTTGGGGGGACCACTAAACACAAACCTTAAAAGGTTGGAAGAACTGTTAAAATGTAAATAGCATCCAAAGCAATCTATCAATTTAGTGCAATCTGTATCAAAATTCCAATGAAAAATTTTCAAAGAAATAGAAAAAGAATCTAAAGTTTATATGGAGCCAAAAAGAAAGCCCCAAATATAGAAGAAAATCCTGAGCATAAAGAGCAAAGCCAGAAGCACCACACTTGCTTTTGAAACATATTATAAAGGCAGTGTAATCAAAGCAACATGGTAGTGGTAGTGGTAGTAGTAGTAGTAGTAGTAGTAGTAGACGAAGAAGAAGAAGACAACAACCATGACGACTGCAATGATGACCACGACGATGACAGACACATTGACCCTTCTATGGTAAATGTATTTTTGTTGTGACTGTGAGTTGAGATTGAAACCCTTCTACATGTAAAGTTCTCTACCACTGAGTCACATCCTCAACACAAGTTAACTGATTTTTTTTTTTTTTTTGGTGGAACCGGGGATTGAACTCAGGCCCTTGCACTTGCCAGGCAAGCGCTTACTCTACTGAGCCATCTCCCTGGCCCTGTTAACTGATTTTGATAAAGGTCTTACAAACAGGTAAGTCATGTTATCTTTTCAATAAGTGGCTCTGAAAAAACATGGATATCCACATGTAGAATGAAATTGGACCCTTATCTCACAACATATACAAAAACTGGACTTAAAATGGATAAATGGCTTAAACATAAGACCTGAAAATTCATAGCTGTAAAAAGAAATATAGGGGAAAGGCTTTAGGACATTAACTTAGGCCACAATTTCTTAACTAGGACTCCAAAATCAGACAACAAAAGCCAAAAAGAACAAATGAGGTTGCATCAAAGGAAAAACCTACACAGGAAAGCAAACAACAGAACAGCAATAACTCATGGACTGGGACAAAGTATTGGTCAATCATAAAAGATTGGTAAGGGACTAAATGAAAAATATACCAGCAACTCAGGCAACAACTCAGTAGCAAGAAAACAAACAAAAAAACCTTGATTTTTTTTTAAGTATGCAAAGGATTTGAACTGATATTTTTCATAAGAAGACATATTAATGGCCAATAGATATATGAGAAAATGTTCAACTTTTTTTGTGTGTGCTTTAAACATTTTATTTAACTGACGTGATCTTCCACTTGCTTAACCAAACTGACATCCATTTATTTTGATACATCTTTTCCCCAAGGACTGTCAAGCAAATGTAATTATTTTATAAATATTTGGAAATATACTTGCACTATACCTCAGCAATATCTTTCAGCAAGAAGATCACTGAAGAGTAAAGACTATTATAATTACGAGGTACAGTGAAAATCTGCTGCAATAGTTCTGAGATAAGAAGGTACCACATACCTGTTCAATTAAGAAAACCGTCCTCATAACACAGGACCTTTTTATTTTTAAGTAGGACCTAGAACACTTAAGCTGCCAATTAGGTGCTGAAGGGCAGGGTGACTTCCCCAGCTTACACCATGAATTCATAAGGAATAGGTTCCAGCAAGTCAGGCGCCTTCCCCACTGGTCCTCACAAAGTGCGCTTCTCTGGGAGGGGCAGGCTGGCACTTCATTTGAACTAGGTACCTTTCTCTTTGGCTTCCTTCTTTTTGTGTTTATTTTCTTGACATGTTTCAAGAAGCTATCACAACTCTGAGTGTTTACTATGTACCTTAATCTCTTGGCAAGTATGTTGCCCTTAACTTGCTTATTTACAATGCCAACAGCATGCTGGGTAACATTGTAAACTCTTCCCATTTTGCCATGACATTTGTAAGGCATTCCTTTTGCACAGTGTCCCTTCCTTGGATGTCTACAATCTCACCCTTTTTGTAAATTTGCATGTACATGGCAAAGGAACAACCCATTGTTTTCTAAAAGGCCTGCATACACCAGGTTCCACTCCTCTTGCCCTTTGTGTTCGTCATTTTGGCAAATTCCTGGAAGATGGTGGTTCTGGCTGAAAGAACATATTTTTTAAAAATGTATTTAGTACAGTGTCTACAGGGTCTTACTACTGTTTTCAGCTTCCCAAGTTCTGGGATTACAGGTGCACACCACTATGCCCAGTCTCAGTCACCATCTCAGAGCGCCCTGGGGGCGGGTCCGGCACAGCACACTGGGGAATCGAACCCCAGTCCCTGCGTCTGCCTAGGCAGGCATTTTACTGTGCTGAGCTATCTGGCCAGCCCTTGAAAGATCATTTTTAATCATTAAGGAAATTCAAATTAAAACCACAGTGAAGGCAAAGAACAACAAATGTTGATGAAGATGCAGAGAAAAGGCTACCACTGTATACTGTTGGTGATACTTTACAAAGCTGATCAAAAACTATGATGTGTGTTAAATCTTAAAAATGTTACAGTGCATTGCCATTTCTGCCCTCAATATAGTCCCTTTCATTTCAGATACGATTGTCTCATTGATCTTGTTGCTTCCTGAAGCAGTTCTAGAAGTCCCCTTTGATGGGTGTCTTTGGTAGATGTGACCAAAAATACACTGGATGCTGCTGCTGTGCTCCAAAAAGGCAGGTGCATGAAACCATTGCAGTGTGTCCACATCCATCTTATTAATCTAATCTGGCACTTTGCAGTTTTTGGCTCTTCCCCAAAGTAAAACGATTATGAAAAGTAAACAGCTTGAGTCAATTTGACATCAAGGCAGGCATAACAATACAACTTAACACAGTCACAAAAGAAGTCTACCAGAACTGCTTCAAGAAGCACCAACAATGATGGGATAGATGTGTCTGAAACAAGGTGGAAGATTGATAGCAATGTGTCTTTTGCTCCAATACATTTTTATTTTCATTTATGTATTTGGTATAGGGTCTCACTATGCAGCTCGGACTCATAGTGATCCTCCTGCTTTCAGCCTCCCAAGTGCTGGGATTACAGGCGCACGCCACCACACCTGGACTCCATCACTGACTCAGCATGCCCCAGGGGTGGGGCCGGTGTGGCAAACACATTTTAAAAAGTAAACATTGACCACACTTTTTGATCCAGCCACCTCAAACTGAAAAACTGGCAAGAATGGGGAGGATGTTGGCTAATGGTCTGGCCTAAAGTCACGGTTTGTGATCTTACACTTCATGTGAGCACACTTAATTAACTATAACATATTGTACATTACAAAAGTGTTATACTGACCAAACAAAATTGATGTTTTTGCTACAAAAACTTGGTAAGATATGTTAATTAGATTTTAGAATCTTTCTACAATGTATACATAGTCCAAAACAAAACATCACGCTGTACCCCATAAATATATAATTATTAGTCAATTAAATTGAACAAATGCAAATATAGTAAGAATTTTTATTGCAAAAATATTCTTTCTTACATGAGCACATTGTTTATATTATTTTATAAAGTACTTAAGTTTTCCTTTCAAATTGTAGTACTTTAGTCTAACTGGAATTAATTTTTGTGTAAGTTGGCTAAGGATAAAATGACAGTAACTTGTTTACACAAATCGCGAATTATTCCAGTACTATTTATTGGAAAGCCCACCATGCACTTCCTGATTTGCTTTGCAGCTTCAGTCATATTCAGGTGTTGAGCTATCTGTTTGAGGTCTACTTTTCAGTTTTCTTCTTTTACTATTGGAGCATTTTTGTTACTGTTCAGTTTTTGGTGCAAGGTCTTACTATGTATTCCAGGCTGGCCTTGAACTCACTGCATAGCCCAAAGTGGCCTCAAATTTACAGTAATCCTCTTGCCTCAGCCTCCCAAGTGCTAGGATTATAGGCACGCACACCACACTTAGCTTGGATACTGCACATATTTTTATACAGTAATTAGTTTTGATAATACCTGGTACAGCAAGACCTCCCACCTTATTAAGAGTACCTTGAAATGCTTTTGGTTCATTTGCTTTTATACAAATTTTCACTTTTCAAATTCATAAGAGAGTATCCTAGGATTGTGATATAAATTACATTCAATATATAAATCAATTTAGGAAAAGAACAATTAACATCTGTATAATAACCAACTTATCAATCCGTCTACATTGTATTGCTCTTTATTTTGCTGGATCTTATTCAATATTTCTCAATAGGTTATTATTATATATTAATATGTATTAATTATTAGATGCAGTAGTGTACTTCATTATTGGTCTTTCCAGTTAGCTTCTGTAATTATTAATGTCTACTCTCTCTAATTCTTATACTGGTTTTGTGGTGTACCTAGATCACATGCATTTTTTAATTACAACATTTGTGAGTACTTGTTTTCTGTACTTGGTGTTTACATTCATTTTAGGGAGAAAATGCCAGGTAGGAGAGATTAAGAAAAATACAATAAGCTTGTTACGGTATTTTCCTATTGATAGCTTACTCATTTTTCTTTTCTACCTCTTCATCCTTAAATGCAGGTGCACTGGCCACTTGGCTGAGTGGGACCAGACAGGCGGCTCTGAATGTCTCTGCTCTGTAGTTCTAACTGTATCTTGTTCCCCCTTTTTTTCTGTAGACTCCTCTATTGGGCACCTTTGTGAAAATCCCCATAAAAGATCAACAGTCTGTTCAAAGGGTCTGTTTTGTTCTGAAGTTTGTCTTTCTAAGCCCTGAGCTTGCTTTGGTGAAAGCCAAGACAACTCTCTCAGATTGTTTGGTAAAGAGCCGAGGGAACTCCTACATCAGACCCTTCTCAAGCCTGGATGTTTGTGGAAATTGGCTTTCTTTCAAGGTCAAATGCTAGAATTTAAATGGAATCCAGTATTCTTAAGATCAAAAGCCTTTCTTCTTCAGAGATGTTTTTTTCTGTTTCCTAAGCAAAATCACGTAGCTTTTCCTTACCTGAAGGCACATTTCTGTTGCCTAAGCGTCCTTCCTAACGCTGTCTTTACTTCCTGGTTCTTCAGACTATAGATGAATGGGTTTAACAAGGATGTGATCACACTGTACTGGATGGAAACTACTTGCTCCAACACTGAGCCTGATGTGGGGCTCAGGTACCTGGAAAACGTTGTCCCATAGAACAAGAGAACAACAGTGAGGTGAGAAGAGCATGTGGAAAAGGCTTTGCCTTGGCCTTCAGAGGAGCGGATGTTCAGTATGGCAGAAATAATTCTGGAGTAAGAGAAGAGGATTAGGGGAAGTGTCAGTAACCCCCAAAATGCACAAGACACAGCTAAAAGAATCTCATTGACAATGGGGTCAGTGCAGGATAAAGGGAAGAGTGGAGGCAGCTCACAGCTGAAGTGGGGGATGACATTGGAACTACAGAAGTATAACTTGTGGATGAAGAGACAGTTTACCAAGGAAAGCAGAAATCCTACTGCCCAAGCTGTGCTCACAGTACTGTTGCAGAGAGTTCTGTTCATGATGATGGTGTAGACGAGAGGGTGGCAGATGGCAGCATAGCGATCATAGGCCATGGCAGAGAGCAGGCAGGCTTCTGCTCCCCCAGAGAGCATGAGAAAGAAACTTTGAATAATGCAGCCCCACACTGAAATGGTCTTACTTGAAGAGAGGAAATTGTGCAGCATCTTGGGCACAGTAACTGAAGAGAGGCTGAGGTCTAGGAAGGACAGGTGTCCAAGGAAGAAATACATGGGTGTATGGAGGTGAGAGTCAACTGTAATCACCAAGATCATCACCATGTTCCCCATCAGTGTCAGAAGATAAAGCACTAGGAACAGCACGAAGAGCACAGCCTGGATCTCAGGGTCATGGGAGAGTCCCAGAAGGACGAACTCAGTAATAAGGCTGTCATTTTTCATGATTGCTTAGAGATTCTGTCTCAACTGAAATGAATGGTTCTCCAATAGGTAGGACATTGATTTCAGTCACAGATAATGTGGCTACTCAACTAAAGACCAAAATAGGAAATTCAGGTCAAAGAAATGTAAATGCAGCAGCTTCATGCAATCAGTAGATTCTGGAGTCCCCTGGAAGACCCTTCGTGGTTACAGGCTGAAAGCCCTCTGGGCAAGTGATTCCTTCTCGGAATAGTAAGAACATAATACAGATTGTGAGAACGTTTTCATAATGGACTTTAATCCCTTTATTTATGCTTTTCAAAGTTCTCATGGAGTAGTGGGATTAGGACTCAAGCCAGGCACTTCACGCCTTGTACTGTACCCTTCCCACTGTACCACTCTCGGTGGTTTGATCTGATATGAGGCCTGAGCCATGTGTGGTTTGGGGGTCCTGTGCAGCTGCTCCATTGGGGAGTTCACGTAGGGTAGGCCTTACTGTTCCTTGACACTCACTCTCAGTCAGTGAGTGGTCTTCATAGCTCTGTGCTGACTATGACAGAGGTAGAAAGAACATGGATGTTGAAGCCGTGTTCCAGTGGCATCATCCAGGAGGATTTTTAAACTTTAACTTGTTCATCTGTAAAAATGAATAACTAACTTACTGTACAAAAATACAATTTATATACATGTGGACAAAAACTAACAGAATTTTAGTAACAGAAATTATTTCTCTATTAGGTAATAAGCTGATAGCCCTTTAAAAATTAATGTTGTAAAATTATTTTTTCCATGTATATGTTTTTTAAACTTTTTTGTTTATTTTTGTAATTTAGGGAAGGGTCTATGGGGTGTTCAGGGTTTCACTACTGGATCAGACTCATAGTGATCCACCTGTTTACAGCCTCCCAAGAGCTGGGATTACAGGCATGTGCCACCACACCCAGTCTCAATTGTTGGTTCAACGCACCCTTGACCCCTGCGCCTGCTTGCAGGTGCTTTATTTTTTATTTTTTCCTTATTTCTTTATCTATTTTTGTTAATTTTATTGAGAAGCAAATAGCGATGAGACAGTTTCAAAACCAATTAATAGGACACTTTCAATAATTAATACATTGCATATTGTTGTCTTCATAGTGGTTATTCATAGCACAAGATGCAGACATGATATCTTGTCCAAACAATTATTAGTATAAATCTTTCTTCTCATTGAATTAAGAGAAAGTAGCTATATGTCTATCTTAACTATTTTGTATATACAGATACACAATGGTCCTTCATTTGTATCCCTTTTTTTTTTGTTTAGTTTTGTCAGAGATGGGTATTCCATTGCCATTTAAATATTGTAGGTGCATGAATTTGCAAAATAATCCAATATACTCCAGTAGTCTATAATAGTAGCAGGTTATCCATAAGACTAGCAATGTCAGAAGTTGTTGACTTGAGCCCTTTATAGCTCAGCATATTAATATGGCTTTACTTTTCATACCTCATTATTATACTTTTCTGGTGGATGGTTAAGACCAAGATAAATCAAGACCTATATAACAAGAAATGTTACTTTTGTATCTGACAAGATCAGACAGATCCCCTCAGGATTTAGCCTGAAACCCTGTACTGCAGTTTGTAGGTCCTTTGTCAGTGTTGCAGGCGCTTTAATCTGCTGAGCTATTTGGCCAGCCCTTCCATATATCATCTTTTGGCAATATAAAAACATGGTTTGTAAACCACATATGTTAATAAAAGGAGCTAGGAGGCTTTCAGGAAGCTCTCTACCTAGTTTTGCTTACACTAAAGCAAACTTAAACAGTGTTTGAGTGAGGGAAAATTCTCAAGACAAAGGAAGCCAAACTCCTAAGGAAGAAATTTTTTTTCTTTTCTATTTTTTTTCCATAATTTTATTGACAGACAAATAGCAATGAGACAGTTTCAAATCAAACTGGTAGGACAGTTTCAATAATTAACACACTGCATACTGTCTTCCTAAAAGGTGCAAATTC